GGGTCTTCGCTACTGGCGACAAAAGTGAAATCGGCCTGTAAGATTCACCTTTGCTGGCATCCTTGCCCGGCTTCAGTAGCGGGACCACCCTGACCATAGTCCAGGTTTCGGGGACGACGTGGGTGGCTATCGACAAGTTGAGGACGTTGGTCAAGTACCCGACTCCTGGCTCGTCCAGCTGCTTCAGCATACACATAGATATTCCATCTGGGCCCAACGCTTTAGATGACTTCGCGTTACGGATGACATATGCAACATCACCCATCGTAAACTGTGGTGGTACCTCCTCGGCTGGAAGAGATCTTATACGACGAAGTACTCTTCTCTTCGCCCTGTCGCTCTCGGGATGCTCGACAAACTGTCGGTTAAAATGACTTGCGCATCTCTTCGGATCAGTCACAGTTTCGTCGTTAAATGTGACTGAGGTCCTATCATCCTTTTTACCAGGGTTCGAGAGCGACTTAACCGTTGCCCACAGTTTACTTACTCCGGTACCAATGTTGCAACTCTTCAGGTGCTCCAACCATCTATTCCGCTTGTGCTCCGCGACTAATCTGCTGACCTCCAACGTGAGATCCCTGACCCTGGGATCTGCTGGGTTAGATCGACGGAGCTCATCACGCTCGTTTGCCAGACCAACTGCTTCTGCTGGGAAATTGGGTCTCATCTCGGGTATTCGACAAGCAGGTATAAATTTAGCAGCTGCAGCAGTGATGATGCCTCGGAATTTCCTTTCTGCTACCCGTACATCAGAAGGAATGGAAAGTTCTCTGAAGCGTTGGTTGGTGAACTCTCTGAAACCTTGCCAGTTAGCTTTCCTATGGTTAAGGAAAGTGCGGCGTTCAGAGATGACGAAATCGGGCGGTCTGCTGATGGAGACGATTATGGGGAGATGGTCTGATCCAAGAGAAATGACGGGCTGCCAGCTGACGTCATTTATCAGACCCGATGACACGATGGTTATATCTGGCGAACTGTGACACTCTCCCCTTATTCTGGTGGGGGCATCCTCATTTACCGTGCAAAACGTGGAGCTATCAATTTGCTCTGCCAGCACTGATCCCCTCTGGTCATTACCTAGGACGGAATGCCACAACTAATGGTGGGCATTGAAGTCCCCTAGCACCAGGCGGTTATTGCCCTCCAATAGAAAACTAATATTGGGCAAATAACGCGGTTCACAGCTGTTAATCGGCGGTATATACACGTTAAGCACCTCTACCTCGGCAGTACCACATTTAACTGCTACCCCCATATATTCCATGTATGGGTCACTAGAGTCAAGCTCAAGCGAGATAGGCCTGTATTGAACAGAGTGGTGCATAAGGAATGCTAGGCCTCCACCTCCACTTCTGGTGCGATCCTTGCACCCACTCCCTGCACCCATTACATCTCACCGACACTGACCTGTGGTGAATGATGTTCTGGCAAACCGAACAGAACCACGGTCCGGGGTTTTGTTCGATCCCGGCACGGACCAAAAGAATCCGGAGCAAGCATTCCGGGATATGTTGCTCCCAAAACAGAAAAACAATACAAACATATATAACTGCGTTGGCAGCCGCTGGCCGAAATAAATCGGGTCAATCCGGTATCGTAGAACCCGCCGCCGTGGGATTGCAAATTTGGTTTGGTGGTCGTTGATGGAGTGTAGGATAGATGTAGCAAAGGATTTTTGGAAATTCGAACTATAACTATCCGAAAAGTACGAAAATGTACTAAATTTGGTACAATTCTGTAGCATGTGAACGGACAGCATTAAAAACTTGAAATTTGGAGTGTGAATTAAGGTTGAGATGTAGGGTACATTTAAGGAGATGGTTTTGAATGCGCTTACTCATGTGTACGAAAAGTACTATATGGTACTATATTTCGTATAAATTTAATCTATGCTAATAAAAGAGTAAAGTGATTGACTGACTGATTTAACGATCCATCAACGCCCAGACGAAACGGCTGAAGATAGAAATTTTGGGTGAGTGTCACTCTTGGTCCAAAGGTGACAGATAAGGCTGGGTTTTTGGAAATTCGTACTAGAACCGTACGAAAAGTACTAAATATGGTATCATTTGTATTTGGTGAACCAGTAGAGCTAGAAATCTGAAATTAGGATTGAGGGTCACTGATGGAGTGTAGAATTGATAGAATAGTAGCAAAGGACTTTTTGGAAATTCGAACTATAAGTATCGGAAAAGTACTGAAATGTACTAAATTTGGTACAATTTCGTATCACCTTCTCTTACCTTCAACAGATTATAGTCACTTGGGTAGAAAAATGCCGTTAGGATAAAGAAATCATAACATTATATATAGTTTATATAACATTAGTTTATATCGACCCACAAAAACACAGTAGACTATTCATTAATATTTTTTTTTATTTATATAGTTTTGATATTTGAGATATTTTTCGATATCCACAAATCACATTTAGATTTTAAACAGTGTTTGTTTTTTCATATGCAATTTTACTAATATTGGGTTTCACAATATATAGAAAATAACATTAGTGTATATAAATATTTTGATTTCCATCCTGTTTTTTTTACATTGATATTTGGCCACAAAACCCATCTACATGGGTAGATATAAATCCGGAATTTATTTTATTATTTATACATAAAGATTACTCGAGTACGGTATAATAATAATAATGTTTAAGGTACGGAGTAAGCTCTTTTTTTAGTGTTGTTAGGAAATCCTCTTAAAATTAATTATTTCTGCAAATAAAAATAACTATACAAGTGGGGCGTGTACGTTCGCACAGTACTAATACGCATCAATGTTCCGAAAATAGCACTAAACAGATCATAAATATTTATGAAATACATACCAAAAATGAATGAATTTGAAATAAAAATAAGGAGTAATTTTTTAAAGGATTTAAAAAAAAAATTAAGTGACTATTTATACTCTTTCGAGTCGAGCTTGATGATCTAAGTTTTGCAATGAAAAGGAAAGCCAGGAGAAGAACCTACGTACCCACCATTATGCGACGCGTTTCGCCGTTGGTTAAGCGGCTCATCAGGCATATTGGGCTATGTGGCTTTACAAAGGTCGTACGTTGATAACTTGTATTTATTCCGCCCTGATGCGAAACTTACATAAGCGAATTAAATTCAAATTTGTCAAAGTTCGACATTTGTCTTCATTTTAGGAACAGTAATTTTAAAAGCAGATTTTTGTTGTAGCGATGGATAATTAATCCACACACCTACAATTTCTTCCATGGTATACACATGTTTTTTGCGCAACCGTTTTGGAAGTGTGTTTATGGCTCAGAACGTTAAGTGGTCTGGCTACATTTGTGTTACTCCGAGGACCTAGGTTCGAAACCTCAGCTATGCGACGGCGAAACGCGTCGCATAATGGTGGGTACGTAGGTTCTTCTCCTGGCTTTCTTTTTCATTGCAAAACTTAGATCATCAAGCTCGACTAGAAAGAGTATAAATAATCACTTAAAATTACTTTGAAATGATCACTGCCCCTACAAGGCAAAATTCAAATAACAAACCAGTAAGGAAAGCAGTAAAGTCGGACGGGGCCGACTATATGATACCCTTCACCACTTTGGGTATATTCAACAGATGAATCATAACAGACGTCGAATTTTTGAAGGACCATTAACATGAAAATGGATCCATAAACATGTCATTCTGTAACCTACACTAAAGTTTTCATTTGGTCAGATATAGGGTTGCTTCTTACAATGGGACAAAATTATATAAAGCAATGTAAAGGAAATGTATTATAGTAACTACAGTTCATTGTACCAATTGTGTGGAAATCAGACAAACTTTGGGTCTTTAGTGCACAATTTACACACACTCGGAAGAAAAAATATATAGGAGCTATATCTAAATCTGAACCGATTTTCACGAAACTTAACACACATAATTCTAGACCTTATTCATTACGCAATACCAAATTTCGTGCAAATCGAAATATATATAGGGACTTTGGTGCAATATTTACATTAAATCGGACAAAATTATATATGGGCCGATTTTCAGTAAATTTAACACACATCATTCTAGACGTAATTCATTACGATATGCCAAATTTCGTGCAAATCGAAGGATATATAGGGACTTTGGCGCACCATTTACATAAAATCGGACGAAACTATATATGGGAGCTATATCTAAATCTGGACCGATTTTCTCAAAACTTGGCAGACATCACTCTAGGCTCAACTCAGTACGTTATGCCGAATTTCGTGCAAATCGAAATATATATAGGGATTTTGGTGCACTATTTACATGAAATAGGACGAAACTATATATGGGAGCTATATCTAAATCTGGACCGATATCCTCGAAACTTGGCAGACACCACTCGAGGCTTAATTCAGTACGTTATGAAAAATTTCGTGCAAATCGAAAGATATATAGGGACTTTGGGGCACTATTTACATGAAATCGGACGAAACTATATATGGGAGCTATATCTAAATCTGTCCATGTATTTTTGTGAGCAAAGTACAGGTCGCATTTATGATCCGAATTGGATAAAATTTGGCACAGCTCATTTGTTTGGCCCAAGGACGAACCCTATTGAAATTGGGAAAAATCGGTTCAGATTTAGATATAGCTCCCATATATATATTTAACCGATTTAATGTAAACGGTCCCTATATATCTTTCGATTTGCACGAAATTTGGTACAGCCTAATCATTTAGGTCTAGAATGATGTCTGCCAAGTTTCGTGAAAATCGGTCCAGATTTAGATATAGCTCCCATATATAGTTTCGTCCGATTTCATGTAAATGGTGCACCAAATTCGCTATATATCTTTCGATTTGCACGAAATTGGGCATAACGTACTGAATTGAGTCTAGAATGATGTCCACGAAGTTTCGAGAAAATCGGTCCAGATTTAGATATAGCTCCCATATATAGTTTCGTCCGATTTCATGTAAATGGTGCACCAAAATCCCTATATATATTTCGATTTGCACGAAATTCGGCATAACGTACTGAGTTGAGCCTAGAGTGATGTCTGCCAAGTTTTGAGAAAATCGGTCCAGATTTAGATATAGCTCCCATATATAGTTTCGTCCTATTTTATGTAAATGGTGCGCCAAAGTCCCTATATATCCTTCGATTTGCACGAAATTTGGCATATCGTAATGAATTACGTCTAGAATGATGTGTGTTAAGTTTACTGAAAATCGGCCCAGATGTAGATAGAGCTCCCATATATAATTTTGTCCGATTTAATGTAAATGTTGCACCAAAGTCCCTATATATATTTCGATTTGCACGAAATTTGGTATTGCGTAATGAATAAGGTCTAGAATTATGTGTGTTAAGTTTCGTGATAATCGGTTCAGATTTAGATATAGCTCCTATATATTTTTTCTTCCGAGTGTGTGTAAATTGTGCACTAAAGACCCAAAGTTTGTCTGATTTCCACACAATTGGTACAATGAACTGTAGTTACTATAATACATTTCCTTTACATTGCTTTATATAATTTTGTCCCATTGTAAGAAGCAACCCTATATCTGACCAAATGAAAACTTTAGTGTAGGTTACAGAATGACATGTTTATGGATCCATTTTCATGTTAATGGTCCTTCAAAAATTCGACGTCTGTTATGATTCATCTGTTGAATATACCCAAAGTGGTGAAGGGTATCATATAGTCGGCCCCGTCCGACTTTACTGCTTTCCTTACTGGTTTTTAGATTTATTTATTTGTACTGGGGATGTATTTTAATTTCCTTTCGTTTCGATAAATTAGACAAGTAATACTTATGTAGTATGTTTATAATACATATCATTATATAAATTTAGTTTGTTTTTTTACATTCTAATAAATTCACATTTGAACTATCTTTTTCTAGAATAAAAAGAAAAGTAGTCTTCAAAGCCTTGGGTTTCTTGTCTTTAAGGTGCGATTTTATTTCATGTGTTTTTTTGTTGTTCTTCGCTTACAAAATATTTCTTTCTTAATACAAAAATATGTATGTATATTTTTGCTATATAATACTTTTATATATAATGCATATATCTAATTTGCCACTCACTTAATTCTTAAAAATAAAAAACAGAAACACTTCACATTCGTACTAAACCTAAAAACTAGTCTCCAAAGCCATCGGTGGTGGTGAGTTAACTAATCGCTGAGATAAATTTACATTACCGCCGGTATCGGTGCCGATGACAAAAACCTGTGTGGCCAGAGATTCCTGTACCGAGGAACGACCACCACTCACAATGAAAATCACATCTTCTTCGGATCCCCCGGCGGTCGGTTTTTTGTCGACAACAAAAACTCCACTGCCTTCGCGGCCGGTCACAATGGAATTTGACGACGTCGGGCTGGCTTCACTACATCGTGAGATGCTTCTTTCAGCCACCATGGAACAACGTTGTTGTACTTGCCTCGCCAACCTACCATTACCACCGATCTCCCGCATTAGACCATCACCAATGGCCGATGCTGATCGCACATTCCGCTTAAAGGCCGTTGGTCGTTGCTGATACAAACTCCCACCACCGGCAATGTCACGAAACCGTATACTGGTTCCCGGAGTTATAACTAGATTTTGATTTTTCCGCGACGACTTTGTCACAAAGGACGAACGTGTCAAGGAGTAACGTAAGCTTGGCTTGCGTTTGCAGAATAACTTCAACAGTTCCTGGCGAAAGCGTTTATGCGATATGGTATAGAGAAATGGATTCAGACAAGATGCGGTTTTGCAAAATATCGCCGGTATTCCGGCTCTGGTCGGTGTCAGATACTGTTCCTGTTCGAAGATGCCACAAATGGCCACTATCGAATACGGAGTCCATGCAATGAACCACAACAGTATTACCAAGAGTACAACCACAGCCAGGCGCATTTCAATTTTCTGTTTATTTTTATTACTCGGCAGAGTATCGCGAGCTGTGAACACCACTTTCAAGATATGAAAATAGCAATAACAGATCACAGTCAGCGGTACCATCCAGGCACATATGAAAAATACAAACATAAATACACGTGCCTTTGTCGATGTATCCAAGTAATCAAATGAACAGGTGGTGAAATATCCTTCCGGTACATAGCGGGAGAGGCCAACATCAAACATGGGCATGGAGGAAAATGTCAATGCATATAACCATACAAAAACTATACACAACGCATAAAATTGGGTATTATAATTGATGCGATTCGGATTGAGGGGGTTGACCACAACGCTATAACGATCCAGGGCAATAAATGTCAGCATACCAATAGAAGCTGTGCCGCTGAGGCCACCAATAAATCCATAGATTCGGCAACCTGCAAATTATTAATAAGAAAATGAGTTAACATTTATTACTATAGTACTATATAGGCTATGTGTACTATATATACAGAAAACCTGCTTCAGACTCTAAAAACTTCTATTGAAAGAGGAAGAAAATTTTACTTTGGTCCACCCTTAACAGAGAATAATTTAAAATCCAGCGAGGACATTCTTCAGGTCTTTCTTTCCATGTCTATAATTGACGGAATATTATTGAGGAGACTTAATTCCGGTTGCCTATAGAGGGAAGATCTTCAGGGAGAAGAGACGGGTCTCTTTTTTCCAGTTCTTCTATAGAGAAAATACTTATTTTACAAGGGTTCCTTGACATTTTCTAAAGACCGAATACCTTTTTTCCGTATTCTGTAGACTGAAGATTCTTTACGTTCTATTGACTGAGGCAGACAGTCTAACTTTTTGTATGGAAAAACTAACTATTTCCAGGGATTCTATAGTCAGAAGCCTTCTCCAGGTCTTCTATACACAATATACCTTCTCCAGGCCTTTTCTTACCCGAAGACCTACTTATTTTAAAGGACACCTGTAGAACAAAATCCTTCTCGAGTATAAGGATAAAAAAAATCGACTTTCGATTTTGTATTGAAAAATCTAAATGTCGAGTCGACTTTTGATATTTGAGAAAATCGCAAAGTCGATTTTTAAGATAGTCTTTCGATTTTCTTCATAGATTTTTGGTTTATTATCAAAAAGTCCAATCTGCTCAAAATTATTTGTTTCCAAGATCTAAAAATTGACTTTTTAGTAAATGACAAAAATTGAAAAGTCTAAAAATCAACATTTTGGTCGGATCCAAAAATCGAAAAGTCGACTTTTGTGCTCGACTACGTATCGCTACTCCAGTTGACCTTTTTATGGTCTTCCCTAGACAGCGGAGGCCAGGCTCGTCACAAGAATATATTTTCGTTGTGGGATTTTTATTTAATCACACGATATGGCTCCGAGGAAGATAGACCACGGGACGAAGTTTTGATATAGAAGAAGTTTTGACACGAGATAATGTGAAGTATATGCACTGCGTCTGTGGTGGAGGCAGCAAGACTCAGTTCAGTCCGATGACAGTGGCGTTAGTCCAATCTGTTTCTGCCGAGGGATCGGGTTTCAACCCACTCAACGAAACAGCGGTTACGTTCACTGGTAAGAGTCTAAACGCAACCAGAGAGTCACGAGTCAGCGTCATACTTTTTGGCCGGCGTGAAAACCAAACGAAAGAGTTGGTGGCTAGCGTCACAAAATGTCAATTATTTGTTTTCATTTTTTCACAGAATATTATACGTTGTGCAAACCAAATACAATTTCTTCAGGAGATTCCAAGTTACACAAAATGCCGTATTTTTTATTTCATCGATCAATTTTTTTCATTTTATTATTAATTCGTTAAAAAGCATCCAAAATCTTTGAAAAGATTTGTTTTTTTTTTAACAATACTGCCATATGTTTTGATATAAATTCTCATTGAAATTTGGCAGCACTGCTGGTTTTTACCTAAAATATGGCAACTCAATTGAGAGCAAGAGAGAAAATTTGAGATGACAGTGAGCAAAAATTAATTAAATCTATTCTAGCGTCAAGCCGCTAGACGCGAACGTCAGCCGTCGCGATTTCCCGTTGCCAATAAGAAACTCACGGCAAACGACTGTCGCTGACTCTAGACTCTATGGTTGCGTTTAGACTCTAATAGAGGCGTATTCACTACAATGCCGGCGTATTTAGATTTCATCGGAGTAAGAGTCTAAACGCAACCATAGAGTCTAGAGTCAGCGACAGTCGTTTGCCGTGTGTTTCTTATTGGCAACGGGAAATCGCGAGGGCTGACGTTCGCGTCTAGCGGCTTGACGCTAGAATAGATTTTATTCATGCTCAGCGTCATACTCAAATTTTCTCTCTTGCTCTCAATGAGTTGCCATATTTTAGGTAAAAATCAACAGTGCTATTACATTTCAATGAGAATTTATATCAAATATTTTCAAAGATAGTGGACGTTTTTTAACGAATTAATAATAAAATGGAAGAAAAATAATGTTTTTAATAATTTTATCCAAGTTCCTTGACATTATTGTTTATTAAATAATAAATTGATTTTGGTTTGCACAACGTATAATATTCTGTCAGAAAATGAAAACAAATAATTGACATTTTGTGCCGCTAGCCGCTAAATCTTTCGTTTGGTTTTCACGCCGGCGAAAAAGTACGACGCTGATACGTGACTCTCTGGTTGCGTGTTAACTCTAACACCTTATTGTGTTGACCGTTGCCACCAGGGGCTCCAACCACAATGTAGGGATATATTAGCGTATTGTGTTCCCACTAGGGGACCGTTGGTGACTTTTGACCGTTGAGTTTAAATAAAGGATCATTAAACGTTTGTAGCCAAATAGGAGTATCGACGACTTTTGGGCGTTACAATACATTCTAAACACCAACTGACTTCTACGGCCGAAAACAGACAACTCTTATCCATGTTGTAAAAGGGCAGTAGACCGTTTTGACTATTTTGTACACAGCTCTTTCATGGGCATATTAATTTTTCCAAGTCTTCTATAGGCAGAAGGCCTTCTCCAGGTATTTTATACAAAATATGCGACCTTTAGGTTTTCCATAGATAGAGTACCCTCTGCAGGTCATGTATACCAATTAGATTTCCTCTAGGCTATAGACAAAGGACCTTCCATAAGTCATCTATATGCAGTACACCGTCTAAATGTTCTTTTATTGGCCGAATATCTTACCCAGACTTCTATAGAAATTTCTAAAATTCTACAAATCTTAAGTAGAAAGCTGAGCCTTTTCAGGCCTTCTATAGACAGAATACCGAGATTCTTTAGGCAGAAAAATGTCCTAAATAATTTTGTAGACAAATATTTTTATTTGGTCATGTATAAATCGGAAATCTTTCTTTACAATTTTTAAAGACTAATGACAATGTTCATTGTCTCATATATCCCAACTCACCCCAATCTCCCAGCACAGGACCATTCATGTAATTATTTAGAGCTGCCAGGGGGCATTTAAAAACAATTATAAAATCACTAATGGCCAGATTTAGGACCAGCATATACGGTGACGTCCTTAGGTTTTTACATCTGCAAATACAAAAAAATAATTGAAAACAAATGTCAACATCCAGCAGTCGGTACAGGTGTGACATAGGTGTGTAGATGGGTGTGTGTGGGTGTGTTTGAATCGCAAATCAACTTACTTGACAAACATAAAAATTACCAAACCATTACCAAATGTTCCCACAAAAAATATGACCATATAAAGAATTGCCATGGTCCGGTAATAGGTCTCAGTGGGTGGATCAAATTTAAGCCAAAATGGATTAATGCGAGCTATTAGACGATAATCGTAATTGTGATGAAACCCCTTCAAGGCGGGATAGATGCTGAAAAGGAGAATATGTATACGTGCTTTATTTGGGAGTCGTGAGAGAAATAACTTTTCTACAAAATTTTTAATTTTTTGTATATCCTTCTTACCTTTCATTCAACTCAATAAGGCCATTCATTGACGAATTGACATACGGAATGCATTCCGATGAATTTCGCGGCAGGCATACAATTAAATTCGAACTTTCATATTGACCAGCCAACGCTTCATCATCGACATCATTCTCTGTAATTGCTGGCGGATTAATAGTCGTGTAAACACTAACCACCATTGTGATGGACTGGAATATCCCCATGGCAACGATGGAATACTGCAATTCGTTCAGGTAACATATCACTGCCTTCAAACGCCGTATAAATATCGAAGTGATGCGAATAATTATGCTGCTGCTTCCTGTTGATCGGCGAATACACTGCAAATGAGCAGTGGTCGCACCGGCATACATTTGAAGGGAACGGGGCAGGTGGTGATTGAAGGTGGGTGGGCTTCTCTTAATTTTCTTGCGACTTCGATGACGTGCATTGTTGGGAAATTTAGTTTTATTTTTAGTTGATCTGAGGGCATAGCTGGTGGCTGGACTGTCGGCGGGTGTCTGTGAAATCATCATGTTGCACCGCCCGTCTCTTTCTGCGCGTTCGGCCGGGGCAAATACGGAAATTACTAATTTGTATCCAGGGCAATTGTAAATGCAGGTAACTTATCATTTGTTCCGTTATTGAAACTTTTGTTTTATTTTCGTTTGAAGTTGAAGGGCGGCCGTGCTAAATGATGTGCACCCAAGTGAATATGACTGGGGGTTCACTGTTCAATACTATGGCTATTTTTAGCAAGCAAACAACAACAATAAAAAAATTTCAAATAATTCCTCGAAGTTTGTAAACAATGCGAACGATATGACTTCTTCAAAGCTCTGCAAAGACAAATTTAAAAATAATAATGAGAAAAATTGTGAGGAATTATAGAAAGCAAAGAATTGAAACATAAGTATATATTTTTGGCGGAATTTATACAAACAATATACATATATGTTTGTACGCTGATTGCCATTTCGGTTTGGACAAATACAGTAAATGCTGCACACTTTTCCATAAATTTGCATAGACTTTCGATTAAGTCTAGTACGAAGTTTGTCAAATTTATATATGTAAATCGAGCCTACTTTCGTTCAAAGATAAGGTCGTTCAAATACATATTTTGTTCCACAGGAATTTTGTCGTGTGACATACCACGAGGTAGAAGCATCCTTGGACTTTTATTCAACCACAATATATTCGATATTGCATGAATATGACTGCGGTGTTTCAAAATTCCTTCATAATATTGTCACAAGTGATAAATCTGGGATTTATACGCAAAAAAGCAATTGGTAACGCAAAGAGCTTCAGAATCGTTTTTTCCTGGACACAACACTGTAATATTGGCCTTCATTAATCCTTCAGTCCACAGATGACCTTTTTCAAGCCGTTTATGGGCAGACTAACATTTCCAGCTTCTCTATAGGCAGAAAGCCTTCTCTGGGTCGTCTACACAAAATATTCCTCATACAGGTTTTCTTTGTTCATGGATAGATTATCTTTTCCACGTGTTCTATAGTCAGAAAGCCTTCTTCATGCCTTCCATACACAATATACTTCCTACAGCACTTCTTCTTCAGGCCTTCTTTTGGCCGAAGACCTACTTATTTCACAGGGCTTCTATAGAGAAATAATACCATCGTTAGGTCTTCAACAGACAAAATGCTTTCCACAGGTTATGCTTGAAATCTTCCAAGGACCAACAACACAAGAGATCTTCTTCAGGTATTTTTTAAAGAATTTTTTGAACGGAAGACACCCTTAAAGACTTCTTCGGATTCCAAATCTTCTTGAGGGTCTTCTTCTTTTGTAAACAGGTGATATTATCTTTTTATTCCATTGACTGAAGACTTTCTAAACTATGGAACTAATGAATAAGAGTTCAGGTCTTCTATGGACAGAAAAACTACTTCAGAAGAGCCAAACCAAGTCTTACTTAAACAGAAGACTTTAATCAGTTTTTTTAAGAGATAGACGACCTTCTTGGGTAGCGTAGGGGATGATAGATACCAAGCAACGGCTCTGATTGGCTTTAACATGGCGAAGTACAGGCTTATCTTGGTCCTTCTTTCATCTCAATTGTGGACACTGACCTCCCCGCGGTACCACCTGGGGAGCTATTCTCATCACCCGATGAAATAGTGAGTATTATAGCTGCCATGAAACGAGACATGAATTTGGCTGTGGATTTATGGTTAACAGGAGAATAAAAGACCTTGTCTCCAGATTCACTCTAGTAGATGAGCGAATTGCTATAATCCGTATAAAAGCGAAGTTCTTTTACATCAGTCTCATTTGCGCCCATGCTTCGGCCGAAGATAAAGGTGAACAGACCAAAATCGGAAGGGAAATATCTTTGGCCCCACCGTCAGAAAATTCAGCCTTCATGAAGAAACATCCGACAACGACATGAGGTAGATTGACTTCGCGACATGGTAGTTAGCAGCACCAGATTCAAGCATCTCGATATACACAAGGCCAACTGGATCTCTCCTGATCATGTAACGAGAAATCAAATTGATTATGTTGTGATAGACGGAAGGCATTCATCCAGTGTTTTAGACGTCCGATCGATCCGAGGAGCGAATATCGATTCGGACCATTACCTTGTGGCAGCCAAGGTACGCACCCGTCTTAATGTTGCAGCAAAGGTGCGATATAATACAACACGGAAACTCGACGTCGAAAAGCTGCAAACACAACAGGTAGCCGAGGCCTACCCCGCTGAACTTATCCAACTGCTCGAAGAAAGCTCTTCTTGTCCCGATAATAGTATAGAAGCACAATGGCAAAGAATTGCCCACTCCCTACAAACTGCAGCAAAAGGAACAATTGGGTACCAAAAACCACCACCAAGAAACCCATGGTTCGATCAGGAGTGTCGTAATGCTACTGATGTGAAAAACGCAGCGCATATGGCAACCCTGCAGACAGTAGCAACTCGTAACGTGATTGAAAATTATCAGGTGAAAAGGAGAGAGGAGAAACGTGTTTTCAGAAAAAAGAAGAAAGAACAAGAAAAACGTGAGCGTGAGCAAATCGAGATGTACAGGAGTCAGAATGAAGTCCGGAAATTTTACCAACGAGTAAAACCCCAAACCGAAGGCTTTGGTGCAGGCACATCTTCCTATAGAGAAGAAGAAAGAAACCTGGTGACAGATACAGACAGCGTGTTGAGGATCTGGAAGGAGTATTTCGAAAAGCTTCTAGTATCAAATAGTGGCGATGAAGAAGATACCCCAGAACCAAAAAGAGATGATGGTATAGAGTGTATACCACCTAACAAAGGTGAGGTCATAAAATCAATTAATCGGCTGAAGAACAACAAAGCAGCAGGAGCCGATGGGTTACCAGCCGAACTATTCAAGACTGGTGGCCTGAACTATTCAAGACTGTGGAACTTGAGAACTACAGCTTCGAGGTAGTTGAAGATTTTATATACCTTGGTACCGCCATAAATGAAACGAATGACATCAGTTTTGAAATTCGGAGAAGGATTGTGATAGCCAACAGATGCTACTATGGTCTAAGTAAGCAGTTTAGAAACAGAAGCATGGGTACTTGCACAAGCAGATGAGGCAGCTCTTGGGGTGTTTGAAAGAAAAATTCTGCGAAAGATCTACGGGCCGATCTGCGTCGACGGTGAATATCGGCTTCGAATGAACCACGATCTTTACCATTTATACGCGGACATCGACATAGTCAGTCGTATTGAGCTGCAGCGACTACGGTGGCTAGGCCATGTTGTGCGGATGAATGAGAATGCCCCAGCTCAAAAGGCATATAAAAACGAGCCTACTGATGGTTCCCGTAGAAGGGGAAGGCCACGAATTAGATGGAAAGACCAAGTAGAAAACAACTTCTTGGAACGTGGTCTTCCAAATTGGGGTATTTGCGCACAAGACCGACTCGCTTGGAATATTGGGGGCTACTGTTATATGGAGGCTAACCTGAAACTTGGGTCAAAATTAATAATTTTTAGTACGGAGATGTGTTTTAGTACGGAGATGGGAACCCAAAATGCTAACTTACATCCAATTCGGATGTGGTCTCCGGTGAATATTTCGAGGTGACACATCCACAATTTTTATACCCTTCACCACATTGTAGTACAGGGTGTCTTTGTGCATATGTTTGTAACAGGCAAAAGGAAAAGAGATAGACACATGGTTCCTTTTGAGAATATGCATAGAATCACTGTTTAAGTCGATTTATGCCTGTCGTCTGTCTGTCCGTCCGTCCATGTATTTTTGTTAACAAAGTACAGGTCGCATTTGTGATTAGATTTGGATGAAATTTGGCACAGTTCACTCATTTGGCACAAGGACGAACCCTATTGAAATTGTGAAAAATCGGTTCAGATTTAGATATAGCTCCTATATATATATATATATATATTCGTCCGATTTTATGTAAATGGTGCACTAAAATCCCTATATATCCTTCGATTTGCACGAAATTTGGCACAGCGTACTGAATTAAGTCTAGAACGATGTGTGTTAAATTTCGTGAAAATCGGTTCAGATTTAGATATAGCTCTCATATATATTTTCGTCCGATTTTAGGTAAATAGTGCACCAAAGTCCCTATATATCCTTCGATTTCCACGAAATTTGGCATTGCATTCTGAATTAAGTCTACAACCATGTGTGTTAAATTTCGAGAATATCGGTTCAGATTTAGATGTAGCTCCCATATATATTTTCGTCCGATTTTAATAAATAGTGCACAAAAGTCCCTATATATCCTTCGATTTGCACGAAATTTGGCACAGCGTACTGACGCCATTCTCGGGGTCAATTTTTTTTATTTAATTCGAATCTACACTAATTCAAGAATGTCCCTACAAAATTTCAAGTGAAAATCTCAAGAACTCTTGAAGATATAGCCGATTTATTGTGTCAGCA